AGTCCTTATTTAAACCGGAGTTGATTGTGTCTAGTTTGCATATCAATTCTAGCTCAGCAGTTTCTCGTTGGAGTCTGTTTTTGAAGTAACGCATTCCAGTGCTTCACCACCCTCCTAGTGCAAAAGTTTTTTCCTAATATACAACCTAAACCTCCCCCACTGCAACTTGAGACCATTACTCCTTGTTCTGTCATCTGGTACCACTGAGAACAGTCTAGATCCATCCTCTTTGGAACCCCCTTTCAGGTAGTTGAAAGCTGCTATCAAATCCCCCCCCCCCAATTCTTCTCTTCTGCAGACTAAACAATCCCAGTTCCCTCAATCTCTACTCATAAATCATGTGCTCCAGCCCCCTAATCATTTTTGTTGTCCTCTTTCCAATTTTTTCACATCCTTCTTGTAGTGTGGGGCCCAAAACTGGACACAGTACTCCAGATGAGGCTTCTCCAATGTTGAATAGAGGGGAATGATCACGTCCCTCAATCTGCTGGCAATGCCCCTACTTATACAGCCCAAAATGCCATTAGCCTTCTTGGTAACAAGGGCACACTGTTGACTCATATCCAGCTTCTCGTCCACTGTAACTCCTAGGTCCTTTTCTGCAGAACCGCTGCCTAACCATTCGGTCCCTAGTCTGTAGCAGTGCATGGGATTTTTCCGTCCTAAGTGCAGGACTCTGCACTTGTCCTTGTTGAACCTCATCAGATTTATTTTGGCCTAATCCTCTAATTTTTCTAGGTCCCTCTGTATCCTATCCCTACCCTCCAGCATATCTACCACTCCTCCCAGTTTAGTGTCATCTGCAAACTTGCTGAGTCCACGCCATCCTCCAGATCATTAATGAAGATATTGAACAAAACCAGTCCCAGGACCGAACCTTGGGGCACTCCGCTTGATACTGGCTGCCAACTAGACATGGAGCCATTGATCATTACCAATTGAGCCCGATGATCTAGCCAGTTTTTTATCCACCTTATAGTCCATTCATCCAGCCCATACTTCTTTAACTTGCTGGCAAGAATACTGTGGGAGACCATAACAAAAGCTTTGCTAAAGTCAAGGAATAACACGTTATTAGCATTGCAAGCTCATGCCAGGGGGTCACAGCATCACTTCCTCCCCTCCATCTCCATCAACTAAAACCCCAATACAATGTTATTTCTTTTTTTAAAGATATTCTGAAGTACTACCACAAATTAATGAGATTGATGTAGGAATTACTGGATGAAATTATGTGGACTGTGTTATACAGAAAGTCAGATGATTCCTCTCGTCCATTCTGGCCTTCAAATGTATGAATCTACTGGAAGGAACTTTTTTCACTCTGTAGTATATTGGTGATGGCTGAGGCAGAGGTTAGGTTAATGTGTTTATCTAACTAAGAGAAATAACTTGGAAACATAATATTGATGTTTCTGTATGTAGATTGGCTGTAATTTCTGTCACAGGAGAAACAGAATCCTAGGAGAACGGAATCCGGCCCCCAGTGCATATGCTTGTATGTATGCATATAGGATGACTTTATTCAAGCAATCATTACTTATTATTGAGGAATAGCAAAATAATTTCTGAATCCCCAACAAGTTTTTTCATAGCTGGCTGATACAAAATAACTGCAGCTCAAGGTTACTGCTTCTATTTTCAAAGGGTTTCTTCTTTTCATGAATACACAATTTTTTCCAAGCTCAACTTCTGAATGCCTTTTTTTCCTTCCAATTCCACCATGCTTTAGACATTATTCATATCTCTGTGGAGCGAGCAGAGAGCGACCGAGTCACCTGGAGGGGAAAAAAAGAGTTTCATGATATGCAGAAAAGCATATTTTATTCTGTAAAAGTGCATAACACATTTCCTCCCTTCTTGCACTATATCATAATCACAAAACCAGTGATTTATTTTATTTTATTTTTTTATGATTAGGGCCTTTTAACATTAGACTTCTTTCTACTGGAATGGATTAGCATCACTGTCACTGAGAATGGGACTATAAGGTCATAATGTTCAAAAATAAACTCTGCAAAGGAAATTTGATATTATGGCACCACATGCTACAGTCATTATAGTCGTTGTTGGGTTTTTTTACTCTTTCTTAATCAACCCTCTTTTTCAGGCATTGTATGACTAATCCTATAAATCCACTGTGTGCTGAAATTTCTCAGACAAACGCTCTTAACCTAGAAGTAATTTTTTAAAATCTTTTTTGGAATTAAAAACAAACATGTATAATATGTGTGTGTACTTCTCAAGTTATGGGAGAACTAATGTAGTCAAATATAGTTTTATTTTAATTTAGATTTTGTGTTGAGATCTATATGTGGTGTAGTAAACCAAAAAAAGTTTTGGATTTTTTTTCTAGTGATTTTTTTATATAGTCTAGTAACACTTGAAACATGCAGTTTTGCTAGAGCTGAATATTGGTCCAATCCTGTAAGACATTGAGTGCCTACCGTAAGATATCACTGAGGTTAAGAGTTTAGCAAGATTCTTAAATATATAACACGAATATCCAGAGTTACAATAGTAATTATTAAAAGAAATAAACTTGAGCTTTGGAAAGGATATAAACCCACAGAAAGTCATAGAGTTTAAGGACAAAAGGGACCACTAGATCATCTAATTTGATCTCCCGTATGTCACAGGACACCAACACCACCCAGTACCCATACACTAAACCCAACAACCGAAATGAGACCAAAATATTACAGCCCACAGGAGATTAGACTATTATGTGCCACAGGTAGAGAATAGGAGGGACTGATGTACACTGTTGCTAAAAGCCTCCTAAATTGCGGGAAAATATTAAGTGGCATAAATCAACCTCCATCTCTGGGGGGTTAGGGCTAGGAAGGGAGTTTCCCTGGAGGCAGGGTATCCCATGGCTGCTTGCTGTAGGTTTTCTTGCATTCTCACTGAAGAATGAAGAAGCTGTCATTGTTGATGACAGGATATTGGACTAAACGGACTGCTATTGTGGTCCTATGGTATCTTGTGGGAATGAATTCAAAAGACTAATTGTTCACTGTGTGAAAACATATTTACTTTCGTCAGTTTTAAATTTGCCACCTTTCAATTTTATTGCATATCCCCTTGTAGAGCAACAGAAATATTTCAACCAGTTAATGCATTTAAAACTAGAAGTGTTTGCTCCAGAACATCAGAAATTAAATCTCTAGCGAGCAAGATCTCAGCATCTACAGAAAAAAATGAACTACATTATTGTTAAAAGCTTGATAATTTCGGGTCAATCCTGTTTACCTTGTTCATCTGAAAAGTCCCACTGAAGTCAACACAAGTCAATAAGACTATCCACAAGAATAAGGAAAAAGGATTTGGTCTTTGAAATTAAGCTATTTATTCTTGTAATTTTCCCCATATTAAAGTTTATCTGTAGTTGAACCAATATATACTAAATATCCTGAAACTTTCTCTAGCCTCTGGAGATCATTTAGATAGATTTCATAGACCCAAGGAATCATTAATCTTTTGAATCCACCTCCTCTGAGAGTTTATAAAGATTCACATAAAATGTTTTAAACACTGTATGTGTTTCCTCAAAAGAATTAAATAAATTACCTTCTTGGACTCTGATTTCCCCCAATTACCCTCAGTGATTCTTTTTTTTTTTCATCAGTCATGCATGTAATCATCCAGCTCATATAATAAAGCCACAGATCAAGTAATGAACTTTTCTACTTTTTCCAATTTTTTAATTTGCATTTAAACCCAATTACAGACTTGCAGAAATTAGAAATGAAAGACTTGTTAGGTCACCTGGTTCATCCACCTCCCTATGCTGTATTGATCTCTACAACTTATTTACACTTGTGAAAGTGAGAGTAAATACAACCAAATCCAAATGGTCTGGAATTTTAAAGCCAGTTTACATTTCTGTGACATAGATGTAAATAACTATACAAGGGTCAGGGCAGTGGAGTGCCAGGCCCATAAGGAGGGGTTTTCTTTCTGGACCTTAATTATACTGCATTGTTAACCTAGGTTTGTGTAGACCTGTGCTTGTGGACTTATTGTTTCCAAGCCCATGATTGAGCATCTACATTGTGTTGTAAACCTGAGTTAACAGTTGCTGGATCCAGGTCTTACAACCGTGCTAATGCATCCGTACTGCATTATGTAGACTTTTGACTCGGGTCTTTAGCATGAGCTGCATCCACACTGCAAGATGACAGGCCTTGAACCAGCATCTCAGTGGAACTTGGCCTCAGACCAACCCCCCTTGGTGGGTTCTAGGAGCTGAGATGTGCGTGTTTGCTGACCCAAGTCAGACAGATTTGTGTGTGGATGATAGGGGATGTGGGGAGTCTGAGCCCAGGTTTATAATGAGGTGTAGACATATCCATAGAGGCTGGTGCACAGGTTGACATTAGGGAAAGGCCAGCAGATCCCTAATTATATAAACCCATTAGCTCTAACACCCCTCACAAGTGATAGTATATATCATCTAACATCACTTACAAGTATCATAGTGGGGCTGCAATCAACAATGCAACGTATAGACTTGAGTTGTGATGGGGTGTGAGTTATCCTGTAATCCTGCACCTTTAACAAGGGTGGGTTGCAAATTTCATCTCCCCAGGGCACCCACACTTCACCTGATCAAGCCCATTTGCAGGAGATGTGAATTTCATCCAATGTCCATTACAGAGGGACAAAAAAATACATATGTAGGGACATTCTTATCCCATGTTCGTGTCACTTTATATTATATCACATTAACAGTGCTCTCTGAAAAAGCTTAATTCATACTGCACTTCGAACATGTAAACCCATGGATTAAATATTTCAAAAGCACCTGAATGACTTAGGAGCCTAAATCCTATTTTGAAAAGTGACTTAGACATTAGGCCTCATCTACGCTACAAAATTAAGTCGACTTAAGTTGATGTACAGCCACCGCAGTAATTCAAGTGGCGGTTCACATGGACACTACGCTCCTTTTGTTGACAGTGTTCATCCTCACCAGAAGTGCTCTCACCAAGAGAAGTGGAGCGTTGTGGGGCACTGGCTGCTGAAGGCTCCCCCATTCTCTGGGGTTGACAGCCCAACCTGCGAGCCTGATGTGGGGCTCACAGCTGGAGACCCCTACCTGCCCCAGGGGTGACAGATTGGGCTGTCAGCCCCCAGGTGTGGCGCCTACAATGGGGCTGACAATCTACAAGCAATATAAGTAATACAGTGTCTATATAGACAGTGTGTCACCATAACTACATAGACCTAAGTACCATGCCACTTGCAGAGGTGGAATTATTAAATCATTGTAGTGGGCGATTTACATTGGTGGGAGCTCCATTGTAGTGTAGGCACTTACAGAGTTAGGTTGATGTAAGCTGCCTTAAATAGATCTAACTTTGCAGAATAGACCAGGCCTTAGACATTTAGGAGTCTAAGTCTACCATCTGTGGGATTATGACTGAACGCTTCTAAATCTAAGTCTTGACTTTCAGTGGGACTTAGGCTCCTAGGGGCCAGAGTTACAATAGTATTTAGGTGCCCAAAGATACAGATAGGTGACTAGTGGATTTTTCAAAATTGCCATAAGACTTCTAATGGGAGTTAGACCCCTAACTTGTTTAGGCACTTTTGAAAATCCCACTAGAGGCCTATAAGGATATTTAGGCACCTAAATACCCTTGAAAATTGGCCCAAGGCATTTAGGTGCCTAATGCCCTTTGAAATCAATGGGAGGTAGGCATCAAAATACCTTTAAAAATCTGCCTTAAGTGCCTAAGTAACCTTGAACATGGGACTTATGATCACTTAAGTGCTTTTGAAAAGTTTATCAGTAAATAGCTTGCCGCACATATATTTGACCAAGCTGTAGTATCACTTTCCAATTCCATTGTGGTCTCTTTCTCAGCATTGCTTAACAGGCTACATAACAAGAATAAATGTTTAAAATCAAACCTTGTCAGCCAAGTGATTACATCTAATATCAGAGTTGGTGAGTGTGATGGATTCCCCAGGGTGCAACCTGGAACTGGAGTACCGCTGAGCCCTCTCTCTTACCAACCTGGACTCCCTCTCATGCTGTGACAAGCTGCAAACCACTCCAGGTCCTGCACTTGCACAGACATCCATAGGCAGGGACACATACAGCAGAATTACATGAATGCTTCTCCTGCCACTCATGAACTAACAATAGAGACGCTCCAGCCATTCCCTCAGCTCCCCAGCCTAGGGTCCAAGAGCAGTACTGTTTTGCCCAGGTGACCAGTGTAAGTTTATTACGCAGTATCTCTCTCTTAATGTGGAGAGGACATGAACCAGCTCTTGTTCCTGAGCAAATTTCCTAAGCACTTTATACCAAAACCCACTGTTTTAGGTAAAATATAAAACAGATTTATTAACTATAGAAAGATAGATTTTAAGTAATTATAAGTAATAAGTGTACAGATCAAAGTTGGTTATCTATGAAATAAAAGTAGAATCACAATCTGAGTTCTATAAACTAGACAAGATTTGAATAGGGTGGCCAACTGCCTAATTGCAGAAAACCAAATGCTCTTGTCCACCCCGTTCCCTGCCCCTTCTCTGAGCCCACGCCCCCCAGGGCAGGGGGTTGGAGTGCGGGAGGGGGTGCAGGCTCTGGGAGGGAGTTGGGTGTAGGAGGGGGTGAGGGGTGTAAGATCTAGGAGGGAGTTTGGGTGTGGGCTCTGGGCTGGGGCAGGGGGTTGGAGTACAGGAGGAGGTGAGGTCCGGCTAGGTGGCACTTACCTCGGGTGGCTCCCAAAAGCAACCAGCACATCCCTCTGGCAGCGGC